TTTTTCCTCCTACTCCACACCAGGAATCCATGTGGAGGCCGCCCCTCGACATAAGGGATCGAAATGTGAAGGGCCTCCCACATAAGGAATCAATGTGTACAGGCTCCTTCACATGAGGAACTCATCTGTGAAGGCCCCCCCCCACATAAGGATTCAACATGTTGGAGGCCCCTCCACACACGATATCAATATGGAGATCCCTTGCACATAAGGAATCAATATGCGGCGGTCCTTCCACAGACAAACTCAATATGTGGATGCCCCTCCACATAGCGAGTCTATATTTTCAAAGGCCCATCGACATAAGAAATCCATGTGAAGACCTCTTTGACCTAAGAAATGAATATGTAGAAGTCCTTCCACAGACGAAATCAACATGTGGAGGCCCTTTCCACATAAGGAGTCAATATGTGGAGGAATCCCCCCCCACAAGAGGAATCAATATGCGCGAGGCCCCTTGCACATAAGGAAAAATATGGGGGAGGCCCCTCCACAAAAGGAAACAATATCATCTTTCTCCTCCTCATCTTTCTCCTCCTACTTCTTCTGCTCCTTCTTATCCTCAACCCCTGCGCCAGAGCGGGAGGAGGAGGGGGAGGAGCAGGAGGAGGAGGAGGAAAAGGAAATCGCCCGCCGCAAAAGAACTCAATTGGTGGAGGTCCCTCCACAGACGGAATCAACATGTGGAGGCCCCTCAACTTAAGGAATCGATACTTTGAAGGCCCATCCACATAAGGAATCAAAATGTGCAGATCCTTTCCAACAAAAGGAATCAACAAGTGGGAGGACCCTCCACAAAAGAAATCAATATGGAGACCCCTTGCACATAGGGAATCAATATGTGGAGGTCCCTTCCACATAAGGAATCAATATGTGGAGGATCCCCCACAAAAGGAAACAATATCATCTTTCTCCTCCTCATCTTTCTCCTCCTACTCCTTCTGGTCCTTCTTCTCCTCAACCCTTGCGCCGGAGTGAGAGAAGGAGGGGGAGGAGGAGCAGAAGGAGGAGGAGGAAAAGGAGATCGCCCGCCACAAAACGAATCAATATGTGGAGGTCCCTCCACAGACGGAATCAATTTGTGGAGGCCCCTCCACATAAGGAGTCGACATGAAAAGGCCCATCCACATAAGAAATCCATATGTGCAGGCCCTTTCACATAAGGAATCATTATGTCAAGGCCCCTTCCACATAAGGAATGAACAAGTTGGAGGCCCCTCCACATAAGAAATCAATATGGAGATCCTTGCTCAAGGAATCAACATGTGGAGGTCCCTCCACAGACGGAGTCAATATGTGGAGATCCCTTCCACATAAGGAAACAATATGTGGAGGATCCCCCACAAGAGGAATCAGGCCCTTGCCACATAAGGATTCAACGAGTGGGAGGCCCCTCCACACAAGATATCATTATGGAAGCCTCTTGCACATATGGAATCATTATGTGGAGGTCCCTCCACAAATGGAATCAATCTGTGGAGGCCCCTACACATAAGGAGTCGATGTTTGAAGGCCCTTGGAAAGACGAACATACGCAGAGAAGTCGGATCAGCGATAAACGAGTAGAAGGAACGACAATGATAATGAAGAGTAGGAGGGACAATAAAGAGTAGAAGGAACGAGGGCGGTAAGGAAGCTTGCGAAGGGGAAGAAGATGACGAGGCCCTGCAACGGAGAAGGGTGGGAGGAAGGAGGAGGGACGAGGGGTGAGGGAGGAGGGAGGATCGGGAGGATAACGAACATAATCAAAAGGAGAAGGAACGAATCATAGAAAGAAATGCAGCGGGAAGGAACGACACCGATGCGGACGGAGAGTGGGCAGCATACGAGGGGGAGGGCTGACAAAGAAAGAAGTGGGAAGTAGCGAAGACAAGGCGAATGGAGAAGATGGGAAAGGAGAGGAGGAGGAGGAAGAAGAGGAGGAAAGGGAGGAGGCACAGGGGGAGGAGGAGGATGAGGAGGAGGAGGGAGAGGGGCAGGAGGAGAGGGAGGGGAAGGAGGAGGAGGAGGAGGAGGAGGAGGAGAAGGAGGAGGAGGAGGAGGAGGGGGAGGAGGAGGAGGAGGAGGAGGAGGAGGAGGAGGAGGAGGAGTAGAAGGAAAACAATAAAGAGAATAATGGAGGAATAAGGAGGAGAAAGGATGAGGGGGGATGATGGGGAGGGAGATGAGGAGAAGGAGGAGGAGGAGGAGGAGGAGGAGGAGGACGACGACGACGACGACGAAGCCGACGAGAAAAAAACAACATGTATGATCACAGGGGGGGGCGATCATATATCATATGTATGTATGTACGCATGTATGTATGCATGTATGTAGGTATGTATTCAGGTACGCATGTATGTATGCCTGTTTGTATGTTTGGTTGTATGTATGTATCTATGTATGTCTGCATGCATGCATGCATTTATGTATGTACATATGTATGTATGCATGTATATACTAATTTATAGATGTACATATATATATATATATGTGCACGCAGGCATGTAATTATGTAAGT